TGTGGACCCAAGCAAAATGAAATCCTTGACAGTTTTCAAACCTTTCACCACCTATCATGATGTCGCCTTTTGGCACATGACAAGGACCTTTGTTTTCTTGATGTTGAGAGGTCCTCTAGGCGGCAATCTGTTTTGAAGGTGGTAGTCTTTGATCTTCTGCAGCAGGCCCTCCTCACTTTCAGCAAGTAAGGTTGTCACATCTGCCTAGCACAGGCTGGTGACGAATCTTCCTCTGATCCTTAATGCCACATTCTTCTTCCCATCACCTCACTTGTGGCCTATGACAAGGAGTTGCACTGTCAACCCAAAAGGTATGCAGTTCAAATGCACTAGCTTCTCCATAGGAGAAAGAAGGGTAACCTCCTCCTGTACGATTAACTGCCTCTGAAAATCCACTGGAAGGTCAGTTACTGGTCAGTTCTCATTCGATGACGGTATACAAAATCAACAACAGTACCATGGCTTGCCAGAAAAACAAACTCCTCAGTCTTGGGAAAAGTGCAGCTAAAATGACGCTACTTAGAAGTGGGAACTTTGTCCCATATACCTAGGACATACACAAGGCTGGCGGGTACCACCGAGTCGTACCAATTTCTTGCCACCAGGCCACCAGAACTAATAGCTGTAAATGACTTCAGGCTTGATAAAAGGTCAGTCTAAAAAGGACTCTGAGTAATATGTACTGACACTGTGGCTGGAATAATGGTCTCAAACACAGCAGTAATTTGGGAGATGGCAGAGAACCAGTGTTGTATTATACACCTGGGTCACTCTGCATTGGAACTGACTGTACACTGCCTAACACAGCCACATCTATGTATTGTGAGAGAGAACAGCTCGGGGAGGTGGGGAGAGGGGGCTGTGTCCTCTTGATGGAAGAAGCAGCAATCTGCTTCTGTAAAGATTACAGTCTTTGAAACCCTAAATTGCACTTGTATTCTACCCTTACAGGATTGCTATGAGTCTGAATTAACTCAAACACAAATGTGTTTGGATTTTTTCTTTCTTTTATAACTATGTAAGCACTAACTGAGCAGAGGGAAAGTTCATAAGCCTCCTGCAGAAATGGCTACATGGTGATTAACTGTGCCTAGTTTAGTAACACGCGTTAATACGGCCAAGCGAGCTAAACTACTTCATAATTGAAAAGTATCTCTTAGAAAATGAAAATTTAATTTTCTTCTGCTGCCACATCCAATTTCTCAGTAGACACTGCCTGGAGGCCATACTTTTCTAGTGAATATGGTTGATTTAAAATATGTAATACTTATTAACATTTATTTAGAAGACTATTAAAATGCTCCTAAATAACTTTGCATCTGGGTAGAAATGAAGCATGCAGATATGCTGTACTTAATTCACGGTGTTTCATAAGAGAAACAGTAACAGTGTACTGAATTCTTGCATTTATTAAATCCATTTCCCCATAAACTGGATGTGAAAAGTAATTAATGACTGAGTGCCAGCAGATGAGACCTCACATGAGGTAAATATTTCAGAAGTTTCGGTGTGATTTAGACACCAGAATTAAACTCACTGCCCCTATGAACGGCCCCTCCCTTAATTAGGTTTCTGAGACTATAAATCTTGAACAGCCGAGAGTGACTTTCTTTTTCAGTGTGATGGGTAGATTTAAACTGTCAACCTTTTGATTAGCATCCTGATAGGCTACACACGATGCTCATGGGAGCTCGCTGGTTTGGACAGTGACTGAAATTTCATTTTCGGGTTCACAGGTCAATTTTTATTTTTCCAGTTAACAATGTATTGTCTACCTGTTATGTAGGTAGATCATGTATAGCAAAACCATGGCTTTTTTTGTTTGTTTGTTGTTGCTGTTAGTCATTCTCTCTAACTATAGACTTTCAGAGGAATCTTTTTCTATAAAGTCATTGCCTGAAGAGGTATGCAAGTTAAATGTCTTAGGAGTATTTAGAAAACGGCGTTGTGGAATGGTAACAAATAATAACACAGAGGTGTATAAGCTGAGTTATTCCAACTACTGAGAAGTTTATGGAAGTTTTTTCTGGAAGAATTAATGGTAGAGCTGCATGCTGCAAGATAAGTAAAAAATACAGAGCAAAGAAAAGATAAGTAAAAAATACAGAGCAAAGAAATGAAAGGAGGCCTCTTAAACCAAAGCAAGGACATAAAATAATGCCCCAGGCCTGACGCAGTGAATGTCTAGAGACGGAGCTGAGGAGGTGGAGGGTGGTCCTAGACATCACCACTCGGCCTGGATTTTAGCCTTTCAACTGCAGGGAGGATTTTAAAGAGCTAGTTCTTTCTTCTTATTTATGTTTGCATTTCAGCCTCTAGTCTAACAGTGTGTTTCAAGTTCATGCAAAAGATGAGAAATCATTGTCTCCTTGGCATTAATTAACGTAGATGCTGTGTCTCGGCGAAGGTAGCATCTTGGTTGGACCCTCCCCTCCTCCAAGCCTCTCCTCCAATCTCGCGTCCTCTTTCCCTCCATGGCAAAGGAGGAGGAGGAGTTGTATTGGCGAAAACGAAGGCCCGTAATGGAATGTAACGGAGCCCAACGGACCACATAACGGGCCGCAACGGATCAGAACAGTGCATAAAAAATAAATGTGGGGTGATATCTTGCTTTGGGCTGACATTGGGTTGAGGGAAGACAGAGAAGGAAGGGAGGAATGATGTATACAGCATTGAAACAGATGAGGGAGAGAACTGCTTAAAAGGGATAAATGAATGGGTATTCTTGTCATTACAGGGGTCAAGCGTGAAGGCTGCATAGTGGAGTGGACTTGGGGGGAGGGATTGCATAACAAAGAGTTTATCTTTTACTTTTCAAGGAGAAGAGTGAATTGGGAAGGGGGTGGGCAGGGAGAAAAGTGCAACAGTGAATGACTGGAAACCCTAAGTCTTTGTAAACTTTGATTAAAATTAATTTTTTTTTATTTTAAACTTTATAATTTTGTGTGTGTACCGTCAAATCGGATCTGACTGGTACAGGAGGGGATTGCCCCTCCTTCTCCAGCAGAGCATCTGGTGGATTCAAACCGCGTACTTCTGAGATTGCAGTGCAGCTTCTTGCCAGTAGGCCACCAGAGCTCCCTTAAACTTTGATTAAAATTAATAAAAATAATAGATGAGAAAAAAATGTGGAAATTATCCAAAAATATATCATCAATATCACATGCAAGCAAAATATTGCTAAAGATCATCTCCAAAGGGAAACTGCCAGAAGATCAAAACTGAGGTTAGAAGAGGTTGTGGAATCAGCAATGTTATTGTTGAAGTCAGACTGATCCTGGCTGAAAAGCAGAGAATACCAGGGGGAAAAATAAGTCTATTTGTGTTTATCCACTGTTTATTCACTGTGTGAAGCGGCCAACCCTGGGAAGAATGGGAATCCCAGCATATTTAACTGTGCTTAGATGAAACCTGGACCTAGACCCAGAAGCTGTTTTCTGAACCAGACAAGGGACCACTACGTGGTTTCTAATTAAGAAAGGTGTTTGTCCAGGTTGTATCCCTTCCTCGATAATTATGTATGCTATGCAAATAACTCAAGAAGCTGGACTCTATGAAGAAGAACGTGGTATCAGTATGAGAAGAAGACTCATCAACAATCTACATTATGCAGATGACACAATCTTACTCACTGAGAGTGAGGAGGACTTGAAATGCTTGCTGCAGATTAAAGATGATATTCTTCGATATGAATTCTATCTCAATGTCAAGGGAACAAAAATTCTCACCATTGGACTCATAGGTAACATCATGATAAAGGGGGGGGGAGCTCCAAATTGTCAGTGATTTCATCGTCCTTGGATCCACAATCAACACCCTTGATATTAACAGCCAGGAAATCAGGAGATATATTACACTGGGAAAATCTACAATTATCTCCAAAGCACTGAAGAGCAATGATGTCATTTCACAGACGAGGGTGGGCCTGTGTCTTTCCTATCATTTGCCATGCATCTGAAAGCTAGAAAGTGAAGAATGACATAAAGGACATTGAAATAGATGAGGGAGAGAACTGTTTAAAAGAGATGTATGATTGGGTATTATTGTCATGACAGGAAGTCCAGAATGAAGGCTGTGCCCAGTAAAGTGGACTTGTGGGGGAGGGATTGCATAACAATGAAAGAGTTTTTCTTTTACTTTTCAAGAAGAAGAGTGAATTGGGAGGTAGGGGTGGGCAGGGAGAAAAGTGCAACAACGAATGACTGGAAACCCTAAATCTCTGTAAACTTTCATTATAATTAATAAAAAATTTAAAAAATAATTAAAAAAATGACAGAAGGATAACTGATGCCTTCGCACTGTGATGTTGGAGAAGAGTACTTAATATCCCATTGTCTTCCAGCAGAACAAACAGATCTTAGAGTTAGTACAGTCAAAATGCTCCTTTGAAGTCCAAGATGATACAGCTTCAACTCACATAACTTGGGGTTTTGTTAGCATAGGCTATTCCTCAGAAAAAGGTACCATGTTTGGAAAGGTGGAGGGTATGTGATAGTACATGAACTGACACAGTGACCGCAGCAGCAATGGGCTTCAGCATGTCAGAAAGAATCAGAACGGCACAGGAGAGGACAGGGTTAAGATCTAGTTTTCATAGGGTCACTCTAAATTGTACTCAACTCGATAGCACCTAACAGCAATGACAACATAAATGACTTTAAAGAGACATGAATCATAGACAAATTCTTTCAAAGTAAATGATAAACAGAGTCCACATATTGGAAACTCTCCTGAAACAAAACTAAGAATAGTAAGTCACATCTGTAATGAGATCATAAATAAGAAAACCTGGTTAAGACTGCATGGATATGAAAGACCAAGAAAGAGGACAAGTGTCAAAGATGGGGTGGTGGGGAGGACAGGAGGGAAAGTATTAGATGACAAGGAAAGAAGCATAAGGTTTAAGATTCAAAGCAGTGGCAAAGTTGTTCTGGGTTGCAAGTTTTATTGTTACCCCTCACTCACGTTCATGCTCTAGAAGTCATAGAGGAATCTCTCACCTCGGCAGGTACACTTCCACTTTTTGCTTCTTCACGGAGTTTGCCCATTCTTCAATCAGGTGGGCTTTCACCAGTGGTTCCAACGTGGCTAGTGGGACTTCCTGTCTGGACAGCACCAACATCATGCTTACCTCGTCTCCTTCATATGGGATTTCTAGGACCTGGTAGATGCCCCCAGCTTCATTGGAACCATCACTAAATTCCCCTAAAAAGCAAAGTTAAGGCTATAAAAAAAAACTCAGTAAAGGGAGGGGAAAAGATTGAAATTTGTTTTACTTTTTTAACATAGTATACAGAATTCAAGACATTCAGACACCTAAGAAAAAGATCGTTTATTTGAAGACAGGACCTGAAAAGCAAGAGAATTCTTTGTCTTGTAGATTTTTAATTTCATTTTGGAATCCCTACAATTACTTCCCATTTGTTCTAACATATTTTATAGATTTGTGGGGTTTTTTAAATTTTTAAGTTAGATAGTTCAAATATATGTTTGATATTATTAATGGCATCATTAAAATAAATGAAAAAGTCCCAATAAGAACCCTAACTCCTTGGCTCCAAGTTGGAGGTAGTTCACAATTACTTGATTTCGGTGGAGGGGAAATTGATTTGACTCTGTCTCATAACTACAACTGCATGTTTTGAGGCAGAGATGGTATAACAAAAGTGAAATCCCAGCATTCAACAAAAGTTATCTGGCGTATCTTTGATTAACACAGATTAAACACCTTCAAATTAAATAATGAGGTTGATTAGAGACTCACTTCTTTCGATTTAGGCAGACTGACTTTTGTAAACAGCAAAATTAAAGAAGTCTTTAAAAAATGGCTCTGTCACTTCCTTAAAGTTTCCCTACTCTATAAAAATAATGTTTTCCTTCTTAATACATTTAAATAACTTATCTACTTCCTTTAGGTATGACATGAAACATTTTGGTTCTAATTTCCTTTTTTAAAGTTTCTCATGGTGATTTTAAAGCTTCTCATGGTCTTTTAATTTATAATACACCTTTAAATAGATACTACTTGTAATACATACCGGTTTAAAATTCTATTTCTCCTGACAAATGAATTTTTTTACACTCATTATTCTATCTAAGAAAAAATAAGACCATAAATGAAAAGCCCTTGAATATAATGTCAAAATATTGAGTTGTATAAAAAAATTATAGATTTTCAAGAAATGAAACTCTGAATGACAATTACGATTGGCCACACAGAACTGAGTCTGAGAGGAAAAATTTAAAGGAAAGAAAAGTCTTTGTAATAGAAGAATTTTAGTAATTAAAAAATTGTCAGGGAGACCAAGTCAAGTGCTTGATAAAACATATGGTTCAGTGAAAATCATACAAAAGTTGGATTTTTTAAAATAAGTCAGGATGTTCTCATACAATGTCAAGTATTTTATCATGACCAAAGCCAATCTGTAGGTGTGATTAACTTTATAGATTAAGGACACACATTATTGGGAAGGTATAAATGCATATACTATTCACTCAGAATCTAATTAAAGGCCTTTGAAAATGAGGCCAAAGAAATTGAATTACAGCCCAAACTAGACTGACAAGCCTTTTGAGTAATGAATATTCCATGCTTTCACAGAAATTGGTGAATATCTTGTAAAAGAGGAAAAATAAAAGCTAAGATTTCATACCGTAATAAAATTCCCCTTGCTGATACATCATTGGAATCTGGACTTCACTTTCATCATCTTTTGTGAAGGAAAAGGTTCTAGTATTTTCTGGTCTAAACTGTGACTTCCAGTTGCCCTTGAAGTAGACAGCATTGATAAGGGCCAGATGAGTGACAGCATCGAAATCCCTGGGAGATACCAAATCTTTCAACAGATCTGTCCAAGGGAGGAAAAGGAGCAGATAAACATTTATATTAAAATGGAAGGTGACTGAAGGGCCAAACGGTTAAAGGTTATCAAACTAGGATCAGATAGAGCAGTTCAGAAAAAACAAATGCATGTGACTGCTCAATTTATACTAAAAAATAACAAATTTTATCCTTAACAGACTATCCAGGAGGCTGGGCTGTATGAGGAGAAGTGTGGCATCAGGACTGGTGGAAGCTTCATTAATAATCTGTGTTATAAAAAAAAATAATCTGCATTATGCAGATGACACAACCCTGCTTGCTGAAACTGAGGAGGACCTGAAGCACTTGCTGCAGAGGGTCAAGGACTGCAGGGTCAATATGGATTGAAGCTCAACATCAAGAAGACAAAGATTGTCACCACTGGGCCAGTTGGCAGCATTATGATGGATGGTGAAGAGACTGAGATTGTTCACAGCTTTAGTTTGCTTGGCTCCACAGTCAACACTCTTGGCATCAGCAGCCAGGAAATTAAAAGGTATATTGCGATGGGAAAATCTGCTGTTAAGGATCTTTCCAAGGTACTGAAGAGCAGTGGTGTCACTCTGGGGACTAAGGTGCCCCTGATACAGACCATGGTCTTTGCAATCACTTGCTATGTATCAGAGAGCTGGACAATGACTAGGGAGGATAGAAGGAGGATTGATGCCTTTGAGCTGTGGTGCTGGAGAAGAGTATTGAATGTACCATGGACTGCTAAGAAAACTAACAGGTTCATCATGGAGAGTGTTAAACCAGGCTGCTCCTTGGAGGCAAGGATTCTGAGGCTTCATGTTATATACATGTTGCAAGGAGGGACCCGTTCTTGGAGATGGACGTGTCATGCTTGGGAGGGTGGAGGGACAGAGCAGGAGAGGAAGACCCTAGATGAGATAGATTGATTCAGTGACTGGGGCTATCGGGGTGGGTGTGCTGGAGACAGTGAGGTTGGCACAGGAGACAAAGCAGGATTTAGGGCTGTTGTACATAGGGTCGCTACGAGTCACAAGCAACTTGAGGGCACTTAACAACAACATTATTCTTTTTTTAAAAAAGTGATTTTTGTTAAAGAAGGGCACCCCAAACACCTGTACCATGTAAAATAACACCAGCACTAGAGTATCTTGACCCTTTTGTACAAAATACACAACCACACACAGTGCAGAACTGCAGCCTTCACCACTTTTGAAGTGGCAGGTTGATGCACTGCGCTCAACACAGAGCACTCAATAAATGTTTAAAAGTATGATTAAAATATCATGTATACTGGAAATATTTCCATCAAATATAATAAACCTCTTTGATTGCAAGAAAACAGATGAGTGAAAGCCAATCTGACACATGGTACACTATTTTCTATCATCTGAAATTCTCTTTCCGAATCTATTTTGAAAGAGGGTGGGTTTTTACTAGTCTCAAGTGTCTAAGACTCTGGAGTGAAACCTAATTTCAATGGGATCATTGGTTTTATAAATATATTCCTAGATTTCTTTTTTTTTCCAGTTAGACATGTTTTTTTATTTTTTTAAGGTCATTTTATTTTATTTTTTAAAATAGCATTCAGTTTATTACAAATATTTAGTATTGGCTTCCCATTATTTCCCCCCTTTTGTTTTTACCTAGATTTCTTTTATGTTACATTTTACTCTTATGTTGGAAACACAGAAACAGTATTTTCTCTGAATGTTCTCATTTTACTAACCAGCTAATAACATTTTGTTACATAATCTCTGCATAATTGGAGGATGATAAGCCATAAGTTAACACATCAGTCTTTTCCAATATGAAATATATTAGCATTAGTTTAGAATTTTCCAATATTAAAAGTTAACCAGGGGTTATAATAATGTAGTTAGTATAGTTTTTGAGATTTTCATTATTTGGTTAAGTAAAATGGGAAAGTAAAATTGTGAAAAATAACACCTATGTAAGTTTAAAAATTTAAAAATAGAACTACAATTTAAAATCCAACTCTTCATATTTTTCCATTTCTTTGGCTTAAAATAGGTTTCCATTTTTTTTAAAAAGTATCTTAATTTAACCGTATGTAGTCTTACTTTAACGAGAGCCACCAGCCGCTAAATAGCTCACGTGCAATTGCACGCCATAGGATTACAGAGAAAATCCATCAGCTGGATTAATTTATCAGCATCAAATTATATACATAGAAATACTCTGTATGATTTAACATCCCTCTCAAATACTTCATAAAGGATGCTCGGAGAGCAGCAAAATAATTACAATATGCTAACAGCATATTGCACACACGTAAAACAAAACACACAAAATAAGTGAAGGGATAAATCATTTTGGAAGAAACATGTGGTTAAAACTAACCTACTAGAGAAAGAAATGAACAAAAAAAAGGGGGAGCACATACTGTTGGTGTTATTCTCCACCCACTTATTGATGTAGTTGGCAACAGCTATATTTTGACTAAAGTCCACGTGGTTTACTTCTGCATTGAAGTATTTTTTCATCATTTGCAAAAACTCATCCTTAATGTGAAATCCGTTTTGCACGAAGAGGGAATTGGCAATTTTCATCACATACTGGCTCTCTTCAGCAGTTACCATGGTAGAGAAATCTTTTAAGAAGGAAAATTCTTCACCTGCAAGACGACAAAAGTTAATTAGTGGAACAGACACGGTTAATTAAAAAAAAAAACAAAACAAAGAAAATTTAAGACTGTTACAGTAACACAGCAAGTAATCATATCTATTAAAAGAGAGAGTAAAAGGACTGAGGGCCAAGAGAAAAGTGCCAGATTTTTTTGCTGTGTTAACCTGGTTAGAAGGTTCACACTTCTAGGGCAAAGGTGATGCCTCTCAGGCAATTGTAACCCACCAACAGCCGCAAGGAGAAAGATAGGCAACCTTCTTCTGTCCTATTTATAGCCTCTGAAAACCCACAGGAGGGTTGATTCAAACTCAATGACAGTGCGCTTGAGTTGATTTCTAGAAGTTCAAATTAACATTCGGCAGCTTGGTTAGAGGACCCAGCTTCTTTTTGTTAACCGTTTCTAATCTACAATGCAGATACTTTGCTGGTTGCTGTTTTCTTTCTAAGTACAAATAACGGAATACTTTGCACTATATGGAGGACATGATGCAGAGTGAAGGAAGTCAGTCAGAAAGGACAAATATTGAAATGCTAAGGAAAGATTTACACCCAGGAAGAAATACAATGAATGATTACCAGTGATGTGGAGGAGAAGAAAAATTACATAGATGCATGTTAAGTTGGGTAAAGGGAAAAGCAAAATAAAATAAAGAGGTTATCAGCACAATTAAACTAAAGAAAGACAGAGATGGACCTGAGATACAGTCAACAAAGGTAAACACAAGTATATACACAATCTTGAAAAATAAACAAGTCACAAAAAGTTAACTTTCAATATATTAGTATTATCCTGTGAAAGCCAGTTTAGTGACATAAGTTTGAAAATCAAGTTATTTGTAAAAATTTCAGGCTCTTTGGACTCTATTTTACCTTATAACTAGAAAATCCATTCAACATTGCTTTAGTTCTTAGCTACTTTATGAGTTAATTCACACATACATGAAAAACATTAAGATAGGAATTGCATCCCATGGCAAAGTGATTATCAAATAGGTTTTGGTTTGAAAAATTCCCAAACACATAATTTTCAGCAACACTGAAATATTTTTTTAAAGTACTGAGTGCTATTGTGCAAAGATGATACTGGTGGTTTTGGTGAATTAAAAAAAAAAAACCCAAACAACTTACAAATACTGTATAGTTCCATGTGGTAAAATGGGACTGACATTGGGGATGAGGGAAGGCAGAGAAGGAGGGGAGGAATGATGTCTGCATTGAAACAGATGAGGGAGAAAACTGTTTAAAAGGGATATATGATTGGGTATTATTGTGATGACAGGAGTCCAGAATGAAGGCTGCACAGTGCAGCAGACTTGGGGGGAGGGATTGTATAATAATGAAATGATTTTTCTTTTATGTTTCAAAGAGAAGAGTGAATAGGAGAGGAGGGGTGGGCAGAGAGAAAAGTGGAACAATGAATGAATAGAAATCCAAAGTCTCTGTAAACTTTCATTAAAATTAATTAAAAAAATACTAAAAAAAAAGATGTAATACCTGTTTAAGGAACTGGACCAATAAACAACCTCATAACAAAAAGAAGAGGAAAAAAAAATCTTAAAGAATCATGTTGTTTTGAGCTTTTTTGACAGCACTTAACGATAGTTCTGTTACATGTGCGCTGATTAATCCATCACTTAGCTGTTAAATTGTTAGGTTGTACTTTGGTGCCTCATATGTTGCTGTGATGCTGGAAGCCCTGCAACTGATATTTCAAATACATGTTGGGTCACCCACTAAATTTCAGCATAGCTTCCAGACACAGAAGAGGAATTAAGAGCTGGATGGTAATCCGAAGGCATACAGACTGAAGACAGCAGAGGCTTGGCAGGAGAAAGATGGGCCATCTCCTCACACAGGTTTGTAGCCTCTGAAAACCATACAGGGTTTTTTTCCCCTAAAGTTATTTTATTATTTTGTGCGTGTACCATCAAATCAGATCTGACTGGTACAGGAGGAGACTGCCCCTCCTTCTCCAGCACAGCATCTGGAGGATTTGAACTGTATACTTCTGGGATTGCAGTGCAGCTTCTTGCCACTAGGCCACCAGAGCTCGCTTGAAAACCATACAGGTTCATAGCCTCTGAAAACCAAACAGGTTCACAGCCTCTGAAAACCACACAGGTTTATAGAGAGAGCTTCTGAAAACCTGTTGGTTCTGACTTGATGGTACATAATAACAACAACAACATCCACTTCTGAAATAGTGGGTCACTGCAAATCCTACTGGGAAATGTTACGTTTTGTTGTCCACAGGGCCACCATGCACTGGAGCCAGTTCAATGCCACCTAGCAACTGCAAATTGAATAAACGAGCTCTGGTGGCCTAGTGGTTAAGAAGCTGTATTCCAAGTCCAACGGCAGGTGATTCAAATCCACTTCATGGTAGAAGGATGAACAATCTCCCCCCAGTGGATTTACTGCCATTGAAAACCCGCTGGAGGATCAATTCAGACAAAACACAACAACAGCAACTCTCTCTAGAAAGAGTGCCAGTGAACTTCTCTTTCCAGAGAATTTGCACGACTGACCCAAAGGCTATTTCTCTACAGTAGTTCAAATTCATCAGCATCTCCCTGGGAGAAAGGTGGGCAGTCTCGTCCTGGGTCTGAAAACCTGCTGGAGGTAAACTATGAGTTAATTCTGACCTGATGACAATTATTCTAGTCTAGAAACTCCAGGGTAGTGAGAACTATCCTTGCTTTTGCTTATCACAATTGGGATCATTGGTGTTTTTGAAACAAAAAGGTAATTTCCTTAGATTCACTCAGTCAGAGTTAAAAATGCTATCTTTCTTGGATCCCTCTATTCCTTCTCCTCAGTCTAGCATTTTCGAGATAATTTTCTGACTGTGTGTCTGCATCGTTGCCTCAAGCATGAGTCACCCACATTACCGCATTTACAGTTTGTCAATGATTCTGAGAAATGAAACCTGAACGGACTTACCGTTTTTGAGGTTAGCGTATCCCATTGAATGACGAATTTCTTTCAGGGTAGATCCTTGGGCTCCAAGTTGCATCATTCCCATAGCAAGAGAGATGCTTAGTGGGGAAAAGAGAATATTTTCATCTTCCACGTTGGCTCGAAGGTGATTATACATCTTCACTGACACCTCGGCCATGGTCTCATCAGGGAAAGTGGCCCCCAAAGCCACAACTGGCAGCATCAGCAGCAAGAAGTTCCCAAGGAAAGCCATGCTGGACTCGTTTGAATTCTGCAAAACAATAGCTTACATATTAATTATTCAAGATCTCAGAGAGAGAAAAAAAAGTGAGCAGTAAATATCAAGACTATTTTCTTGGCAAACCTGCAAAGCAAAGCAAACCAAAGTTTCCCCAAACATATCTTGTTAATATTTTCACAAAGAAAATCCCATTTAAAAATATCTTAGAATGTTCTTCTCTTTTTGAAAAGCCAGTTGTTAGTCAAATTGCTAAGGAATTCAGGAGATATTTCCAGAGTAACACAGTCGTAGTCCCGACCATCACGGGGTTAAGAACATGTAGATAGAGATAGATCACTGGTGACCTAGAGAGTAAGGAGTAAGACTGCCAACCCAAAGGAAGGTGGTTCAATTCCACCAGTCTTCTCCCATGTGGTTTATAAACTCTGAAAACTCACAGCCAAGTCAGCTATGAGTCAATTCTCACTTGATAACTGACACCTTGATGATTAACAAAGACAAAAACAACACAACCAGATAACAACATGTCATGTTTGATTAGATAAATTTTTCAATTTTTCATAAACTCACCACATATATTATGGTCATGATTTTAACAAACTTAAAATGTGGCTAACCTTGAGGAAAATGGGAATGTCAGAACACTTGATTGTGCTTATGCAAAACCTATACCTAGACCAGGAAGCAGTCCTCGGAACAGAGCTGGGAACCACTGCATGGTTCAAAATCAGGAAGGGAGTGTGTCAGGGATGCATCCTGTCTCCACACCTTTTCAGTCTATATGAGGAATAGATCATTCAGGAAGCAGGGATTTATCAGGAGGAATGTGGCATCAAGATTGAAGGAAGACTCATCAACAACCTGCGTTATGCAGACGACACAACCCTGCTTGCTGAAACTGAGGAGGATCTGAAACACTTGCTGCAGAAGGTCTTCAATATGGATTGAAGCTCAATATCAAGAAAACAAAGATTTTTCGCCACTGGGCCAATTGATAGCACAATGATAGATGGAGAAGAGATTGAGGTTGTTAACAATTACAGCTTGCTCGGCTCCACAAGCAACACTCTTGGCACCAGCAGTCAGGAAATCAAAAGACGAATTACTCTGGGAAAATCTGCTGTCATAGACCTCGCTAGAGTACTGAAAAGTACCGATGTCAGCCTAGAGGCTAAGGTTTGCCTGATCTAGTCCATGGTCTTGGCAATGACTTGCTATGCATCACAGAGCTGGACAATGACTAAGGATGATAGAAAAAGAATAGATGCTTTTGAACTGTAGTGCTAGAGAAGAGTCTTAAACATACCGTGTACCACCAAGAAAACAAACAGGTCTGCCTTGGAGAGGGTGAAATCAAGTTTCTTTCTCCTTGGAAGCTATAATTTTTAAGCTCCATCTAACATAGTCTGGGCATGTGTCTAACATACTTTGGGAACGTGACCAGGAGAGATCAGTCCTTGGAGAAGGGAGGACTGCGCAGGAGAGGAAGACCCCGGATGAGATGGATTGATACAGTGACTGGGGTGATGGGAGTTGGTGTGTTGGAATTAGTGAGACTGGCTCAGGACAGGGAGTTCAGGGTCGCTATGGGTTGGAGGTGACTCGATGGCACACCACAAAACCACCAGGCTGCATAAGTTGAAGATACTTATAAAAAGAACTGAAAACTCAGAGGATAATTTATGTGACTTAAGATGAATCAGTGAATTTAGACATTTGAAAAATGCTGCTTTTCCTAGTTCCCTCACTCTATCCACGCACAGTGCGGCAGAATTACCTGTGAGCAGAGTCCCCACCAGACTCAGGTGGGAAGAGAATATATACACGTGTGCCTCGGCTCCCAGTTCATCTCCATCAACTATAAAACTCACAGGAAGCGAGAAATCAGAGAAGCCGGCTGAGCAAGTCCTCAAGGGTGGGCTCTCACACCCCAGTTCCCCGGGGAACACTATACCTCGTGCGGACTTTTGGGGAGTCTGGAGTCTCTTACCAAGCGTGAGACTGAGGCTGAGTTCTGGCCACACCACTGTCCCTTCCATTCAGCTTTGCATTGCCACTCCAGAAACAAACTGGCAATGACAAGAATTATTTATCAATATCAGACTCAATCTGGCTCGTGAACCAAACTGAACGGCAAGAAGGGCCTGTTTTCTCTAGGGAGGAGAAGATAGTTTCAGCGGACAGCTCGTTCTGAAAAATATTTCTTCCGCTCAGCCTGCCAATATTCCAGAAGCCCTGTCTCCACACCAACAGCTTGACTGGCAGGCAGGTTTTCTCCTCTCCTAATTTTCTTGTACTTTGTCACTGCAGGTCTGGAAAGCTAAACCACCTATTTAAACAATTAACTAATTAACTAATGTGTTTATGATTTTAAAAAAATACACAAAACTCACCATTAAAAAACCTTGTAAACATACTGAGGAAATGCATTTGGGATGTTGTATTTTAATTAGGGGCTGCCATTAAGAGTTCCTATTAATCAATTAACAGGGTGCATATACATTTAACTTAAGAGCACTGCTTTTCAAATCAGCCTTGATTCTGAAAGGTCCAATCAGTCCTATAACATTAGCAATGTTAATTCAGGGAACTGAAAACATGTCAGCTGTTTGTTTGTGTTTTTTTTTTCTTTTTTTTTTTTTTCTGTGATGTTCTGTGTTCTTCTACCTCCTTCTTTTGTAAAGAATAATCACTGTGTTGATGATGCCATGGCTCTGTTTCTGTGTAAATATTTCCTCTCACAAAGCTGGTCAGGAAGGAGGTAAAGCACAGCTGGGCACGGTCGGCCAAGTGCACTGCTTTGGAACTGCTGTATTCAATGCAGCTCTGGGGCGGCATCCAGGTCCTGAGAGTACAGCAGGTCAAAAGGTCTACTGACTTTGGTTGAGAGATTGCTATTGCCACATGTCGTTTTCACTTCCTCATGTCCACTCCAGGCAAGCTGGAGAAGAGAACTCTAGGAAAAGGTAATAAGAATTAGAGCATGCTCTCTGTAAATTTAGGTGACACTTTAGCTGTTACCCTCATATAATAAAAAATAATGTAAGAGGTATTCTGTATTGAATATTTAAGAACTGACCCTACTCAGTGGAATTTAAACTCCAAAGCAGATTCAATAGACACAAGATTATATATATATATATATTTCTAAAATTGTTAAAAGGGAGAAGGGAGATGAAAGGAGGACAAGGAAATCCTAGGACAGCAGAGATTAGAAGGGGGATAAAAATGAAGAAATAGACAAGGTGCAGTGGGGACTCCAGGAGACAAGAGGTAACAGTAGCGTCACTACTAATTACTTATATAAAATATGTTCTTGTTTTTGTTGTTATGTGCCCTTGAGTCACTTACGACTCATAGCGACACTATGTACAACAGCCCTAAACCCTGCTCTGTCCTGTGCCAATCTCATCTCATTGAGGGTCTTCCTCTCCTGCACTATCCCTCCACCCTCCGAAGCATGACATCCCTCTCCAAAAACTGATCCCTCCCTGCAACATGCCCAAAGTATGTCAGACGAAGCCTCAGAATCCTTGCCTCCAAGGAGCAGCCTGGCTTAACCCTCTCTAGGACAAACCTGTTTGTTCTCCTAGCAGTCCATGGTATATTCAACACTCTTCTCCAGCACCACAGCTCAAAGGCATCAAATCTCCTTCTATCACCCCTAGTCATTGTCCAGCTGTCTAAAAAATGCATGGAAAAAATGAATGGAACAATGTATATAAATTTTATAAAAGTGAATGAC